GGTTCAGTTTAAAAACTTCTCTTAAAGCATTCTGGTGTTGCCTGCTCACAGACATTAGCCAAGTATTCTTTTGCAGTGGTGTCATCTAGTGGTCAAATTCAATGGAAGAAAGACATTCCTTTTTCATATCTGCCACATTTTGTATGATTTCTTCCTTCTTATACACTACCTTTAAGCAATCTATTTTAGTCTGCAGGTGGTTGACTTTTTAATTAAGTTCCATACTAATTGTTGGACAACAACTGGTTGTCTCCCACCCTCCGTGGGGAAGGGAAAGCATCGTCACATAAGCTATTTTTAAGGGAGGGGGAGCTGAAGAGCTAATAGAGTTGTCCAACCTAAAACCTCAGATCTCTTCACTGCTGAAGTCAGACTGCAAGCTTACAGATTAATTAACCTATTATTGCCCTGTTCACTTGTACACCCTAATAAAGACTGCCATTATTTCTTGTGATAGCATCCAGTCTCAGAACACTGATGATAAATCACAACTGCTTGTTTACACATGCTTTAAATCTAGTTTTTCCTCTGACAAATTAAAATAATGAAGGAAAAAAAAAAGCACACTCCTGACCTCAAGGAGAAAGGAACAGGTCCTACAGCTGAGTGAGTTACACAGTTGTATGTTTTATTTGGTGCGTCTGAGGTATTCACTGAGATTATTTCAGGTAGGCCTTCCATACCACATAGTTCAACTTTCAGGTAACTGACTTCAGATACCAAGATGTTGAAAATCAGTTTCACAAGTTTTAAGTACCAATAATCCAACAGAGTACTAAGAGAGCAACAAATGGACAGGTTGCTGCAAGAGATGCCATTCCTTGTGGAAAAATAAAAGGCCAACTAGTATCGTATGGGTCTTAAACTTTCAGTTCTGAAGAGCAAATATAGGAAGCAATTCCAGTGATGTGATCAAAATTTTTCCTCTGCTTCAATAAAGTGTGAGCTAAAACATTAGCTGCTTATTTTATATCTTAACTGACCATGGTTAACATGAAATATTGCTCTAACCACCCCCACCCCACCCCCCGCAAAATCTCGAATAATTTCCATGCCTTTTTCAACAAATTACTTTCCATAAACAGCAATTTGACATTCTAAATAACAGTACTTACAGTGTCAACTGTTTTCAATTCCTTGGCAACTCAGACAAACAAACTTAATTTGAGATTAAGTTTTCTGTCTATATTATATGATGTTTCTGACTGATGTTTCAAATAATAATTTTATCTTTTATGGAGGCAGTACTAGGAAAATGTTGTTACACAGCTCCTACGGTTCTTTAACCAGGAATCCAAGCACCTCATGTTTTAAAGCATAGCACAGCTGCCACTTTGGAGGAAAGTCAGTTTGGCCAGAAAAGCTGGACACATACAAACCAAAACAGCTGACCATTTTTAATCAATACATCATCTGAAAGAGTTAAAGAGCAAGCTGAATTATCTCCTTGTTGTTTCTACTAGATTACCAAATTGCACTCATCATTTTCAGAGACTGCCACATCATAGGACTGGGGGGCTTCCTCTGCAATTTCTTTCTGGTAAGGGCTGTTAAGACACTAGACATACCAAAACAACAGGAAGACAGAGTATCTCCCAAACTCTCCGAGTTCCTCCTACTAGACCTTAGCAACAGGGCGGAAGCAGCCAAATTCAAAACTGAGCAGCACAATAAAAGGCTAGAAACGAGAAGAGCCTGATAGGGACATAAGATCAGAAAAAGCAATGGGGCATCAGATTCTGCAACAACCAGAACACATGGGTTGGATACAAAAACCACCGGTCTCAAAAAAAAAAAAAAAATCTTCTGCCTAGCCTCTGCACAAAGCACTTGTCCTCTTACTCTTTCTAGCTCACCTGTCCATTGCTTACAGTACTATAGACTATTTCATATGCTCAAGATAAAAATATTTACATTAAGCCAAAATGCTAACCCTTCTAGTGTTTGGGTTCCTTCCCATTTACCTTGTTCAAAATCTAGAAAGCTGCATCAAAGCAACCTATCCTACAAGAATATTACATGTGCAAAGTTAGGAGCTATAAAATATCAATACTTAAAATTGCTTGAGCAACCCCTGGTTACACATGCATTATATGTTGTAGGCTTCGCATTAAATAATGCGCGGAGCTCAGGTAACACATGATCCTGCTGACATTGCATGTGCAAAAAACTTCATACATAAAAGCAGTAGAAGGGTTTACAACACCATGACACAACTGGGTTTTCATGATCTGCCAAATTCTGTTGGTCTCATAGGATGCTATTACGCTATAGATGGACTGTGACCATTTTTGCTAGAAAAGATCACAAAAGCATAGCTGCACAGGACAAACATGTCCAAATCGCTCTGTTGAACAGCCATGTTATTTACAAGTAACATGAGTTGGTATACTTAACCCCCTATGTTGTACTTCAAAATATAGGTCAAAGTCAACTGTTAATTGGGCGGAATAATAACTATGCCTCACCTCCTCCTACTTTGTATTCTTTAATTATGTATCTCTAAGCATAAAAATCCCTCTGCTTACCACGTTATTTGCACTGTTTCCTGGATTTAGTAGTAAAGGTCTGAACTAGCGACATTTGTCTAGAGTATCAGTGTCATACAATCAGCTAAGGCAAATTTTTCATGCTTCATTTTACCAGACACAAATTTATACTTGTATAGTTTTAAAACATATAATCCGTAGCAGGTTAATTTTTGATGGAAATAAATTTTATCTGAATCTTTGGTATTTGGAATGATAGCTAGCCCACCCCAAAGGCTTAAGAAATTAAGAATTAAGAAATTAAGAATTAAGATATGTATCTCAACACAGTTTTGAATAACCAAGAAGACTGAACTAAAGGCTGGTAAAAAAATGATGGCGCTATCTTCATGAGATAGAACCATATCACAACTTTATCTGAACAGAATTTAGCTTACACGGCAAGTAGAAACCATTTTGTTTGGGCAAACTTAAAAACTGATTTATGATGGTCTAAAAAGAAAAGTGAAAAGGATTCTGAATTTCAAAAGACGAAGAAATAAGACGTCTTTGCTGCATATAAGCCTACTTTTCACTTAAGCTTTGAAAAGCTAAGATACACATGAATAAATATTTTAGCGAAGAATTTAGAAAAGTAAGAGAAAGACAGGAGGGTTGTTCTTGGGGAAAAGTTTGTTCTTCTAAAGCATTCACTTTGCTATTAGTTTGGAAACTGACAGTATCATCAAAGATTGAAAACAAAGGCATTTCATTGAGCAAATGAAAACCAACAGCTGAACTACACTGACCGTCCATAATATTCAGGTTTCTAGTTAAAAAAAAAAAAAAAGAATTGGGGAAAAGTTTGTTCTTCTAAAGCATTCACTTTGCTATTAGTTTGGAAACTGACAGTATCAAAGATTGAAAACAAAGGCATTTCATTGAGCAAATGAAAACCAACAGCTGAACTACACTGACTATTCATAATATTCAGGTTTCTAGTTAAAAAAAAAAAAAGAAAAAAACCTCACTCTCTAAGCAAAATGATTGTAATACTAGTGGTAACCTGGGTCTAGTCATTAGGCAAGTATGAAGATAAGAACGATAGAAACAAACTTTAAATATAGGTTTTCTGTACAGAAAGCAGCAACTCTACCGAAAGTTGTTCTTATCCTGGATTTGCAGATTGGGACTTCACTGGTTGAAAGGAATAGAGCAGGGAAGAGATGGAAAGCTTTTCTATTAAGCACCAACCTTATGTACATACCCATACAAATTTCCTTACAACTTATCTCCTGTAGCACATAACAAATTTTTCTTTCCTGGTGGAGTAGAAAATTCACCTTAATTAAGAACTGGATCAGTCAATTAAAAAAACTCATAGATTAACTACGTTCTCCAATGACCCTTTTGAAGCAGCCCGCTCCTATCACCCAACAGGCACCAGATTACGTGCCAAGACCTCAGGCTACCCACAGAAGCCAATAGGTTGTGCCCTCTGCACTGTAAGCTGGCACCTTCCTCCTGAAAAAAAGCAAAACAAAACAACTCCACAAACAAACAACAAAAAAACCAGCAACAGCTGAACCCACAAAGGCTTTAGCACAGGTTCTGCAGGTATCTCCAAGTTGAGCATGTTTAAGTCTTTCACATTTTAAACCTCAGTTAGGTGAAAATGCAAACTCCTTTAGACAAAACATGGACCTTTTCTAGTCCTCTCCGAGAAGCTGCTTTAAAGAAAGACTCAAGCTAGCTATGTGTTGTAAACCAACTTATTTATTCTACAGAGCATATGTACCAATGATATGAGAAAGAAAGTATCTGAAGCTCAAAATTCTTCCAAGTTTTTCATCAGCCTAAGATAACAATAAAAACACTTGCAATATATACATCAGTGTAAGAGTAAACATAACACTAACTCTGAGTGGGGAAAAAACCCATCACCAAATCCCAGATAATCACCTATTACAAACATTTTATGATTAATTCCCAACTTCTCTGAGAATGCAGTCACAATTTTAGCCACTACCTAAAAAGCAAAAATCCAACTTTCACTGATTCTTTAAGCTTTCAATAGTTCCACCATTCTGAACACACAAAACACCATGTGATGAATTACATTCTGGATCATTTCATCAAACTTTCATATGATTTTTAATTCATAGCTTCCCCTAGTTTCTCATTCCTAGTTTGTCATTCTACAAACAACCCACCTTTCTCACACCAGGGGACTGACACTCCTTTGCAAATCCACCATGTGGACCAAAAAACTGCAGTGTCCAGACCTGAGAGAGCTGTCCTGCCTCCACAGCTGCTTCTAAGCTACGGAAAGAGATACCGAGCCCAGCAATACAATCCTACTCTTAATTAAAGTAGGGAGGAGCAGCAACAGTATCGCTAGGTTAAGCCTCACACCTCACTTCGGGTGTGTTTGATGGGAGTTTATCTTGATTTTTGGTTTTAAAAAAGTGTACACAAAACCCACCCACACCAAACAAAAAGAAATACGTATTTATTTTTAAATATACTTACCTTGCACCATTATTTCTAACTACTTCCACTGTTTCACCAACAAAATACCGATCCTTGACGTAAGCAAAGATTTCATCACAGATCTCATGAAGTCGGGAGCGATGGGTAAGGGTGGCCAAGTAGAGAACTGGAATGATGAGTGCCTCTGGAAAACTTTGAAGATTATGTCTGGCTTTCTTCTCCGATTCCAGTGCTTCCTGATATGTGAGTCCTGGTTTACCTGTGACAGCACAGCTCCACACAAGGCTGTTGCACAGAATGGTGCGTTCAAAAAAATCACTGAAAAGATAGAGGGTGGGGGAGAGAGAAAGGAGACTGTTGAGTTCTGACTAACTAATTTTCAATTTGCTCGCTATTAATACAGCAGCAAATTTCTTTCACAAGCCTGAAATGCAAAGGCAGCTCTACTCCTGTACAGGTTGTGGATAATCAAGGGTTATTTACCACTTTTTAGCCATGGCATCGTAAATTGTTACGTAAAATCAAAGTCTCCTCTCACTAGAGACCACAATAACAGCATCAAGACCTAGAAGTGCTGCAAACACATATTCACATATAAGAAGCCTTATGCATAAGTATAATCACACTGAGTTTAATAGGTGTCATATCCTCCTCACATCCCCTACATTTCCACAAATATTTGCAAGAGGAGGGTCTAAAACTGTGCAAGCATAAAATAACCTTAAGATCACAGAAACATACTGAAACTTGAATAAGTTTCAGATTTTGAGTGCCCTAGCTCACAAATGAAAAGATGGGAGAGGTAAAAAATTAGCGTCAAGTAGTTCTCTAAATAGTTTTTATTCCTTCACTGTTTGCATTGCTCTTAGAAAAAGCATTAAACTATTTTTTTCCTACAGATTCTTCTCCTCCCTTGTTCCATTAGCAAATATTGATTCTCCTCCTTCCCGTATTTCCAATTAATGCTAAAATTACATTGTCGTTATTGCTTGCTTACAAGTTATTACATTGGAATCAAGAAAGAAGAGCTTTCATTAGTCAGTATCTGTCAATTTTTGACAGGTATCAGAAAAACAGCAGTTTGTTAAAACACCTTCTAGATGAACTAGATGCTGTAGCTATTCACAAAACCATGTTAAAACATATCATATACTACGGATCAGTGATCAGACAGCAGAGCAATCTTTCAATATGCCCCAGTTTAGACAATGATTTTTATTTGCCTTTCTTTAAAAATCTTAACAGACTAGTATCGATACGCATGCAACACACAACGTGACAAACTGAGTTTTGTTTTGCCCTGTATCAGTTCAGCATAGCTATTTCAAGGCAGACACACAGTACTTTCAGAACACTGCATGCTACACGAGAAACCTATACTGAACTTCCATTCCTCTAAAAAAAATTACGCTGTGCAGTGTTCCCATTTTTAAAAGGATAAAACTGTTCAAATAATTTCTAGTAATGGGGTTAGAGAATTGGACAGTTCACACTGAGTTTTTTCTTGCAGGCTCCCTGCAAACTTAAGCTGGCAAACGTGCATCAGTCAGACTGATGCAGATGACAATGTTCACTGCAGATGGACAGATGAACCATAACATTTTGTAAATGAAAATGGAAATTCCAGATTGAGGACAATGGAGGGTCCTGGCTGAGATAATCCTTTCTGTATGAGCACAGGATTCCTCTGAGTGAGAGAAAGATGCTTTAGGAAGAACATCAGCTGCAAGAAGGGGAAAAGGACAGAAGAGGAAGAGATACATTATTTGAGTAATACTTAATAGCTACAAAATTTCAGATTTTTATATCACTAATATAATAGTGCATCTACTTAATATATTTGACAGTACAGGGGTCTAACACTTGTAAGTAATGAGAAATAATTTGGGTTTGCTTACTCTAAACAAGAAAAGGAGAAGAACAAAGGAGAATGAAATTATTCTTCAATATATGAAGAATGGATGGCTGTCAGTCATTCTTTGTGCATAGGACAGAATATTCTTTTTTTCCTGTCAATCATGGTGAATCAGCATCTTTAAGGTATAGAATAGTTACTTAAACATTGTAAAGAACAGGCTAGACAAAAATCTGTCTCTTTTTTTTTTTTAAAGGTGATGGAATACATAAAACATGATCTCTTCAGGTCTCTTCCGCCCTACATTTCAATACTTCCATATCAGATTCACAATAATTTTTAGTAGTCTTACTGACTTCAATGGATAAAGCAACATTTACTCAAATCTTCATGCAGCTGTGTGTCTCGACATATATTCTTGTGTCTCACTTACCAAAGAGGTTCTTGGTAATTACCTTTAACCAGGAAAACCACGCTAAGAGTTATTAAAAAATGTACCAGAACAGAATTTTCAAAAATTATGAAAGTAAAAGGGGAGGGGGGGGGGAAGGGAGAGAGAGCAGAGTGAGAGGGAGAGACTGAGGTTGAAGCTGACAGTGTCCCTTTAAGAGCTGCTGCTATTCTTTGTGAGGGGACACCGGGCAATCAGGCTATTTAAAGCAACAGCATTGAACTTACGGGCGGGGCGGGGGGGGGCGCGGAACCACAACCAACAAACCCCCCTCTGAAAATTTTTAATACATGATTATTACAAGTGCAAAATTCTAAGATTACTTTAACCGAAACATATTTGAGGAAAACATTTTTCCATTTGCGTACAGAGTAGTTTGTGTATCTAGTTTCATTCTCCCTCATTTCCTCTTTTGTTTTGTGTGGATTTTTGCCCCGTGAACTTACAGGGAAGAAAAAAATTGTGCGGAAAAAAGTTACATTCAATTTTGAAAGCATTATTTGTCTTTAGCCAGTCATTACCTATAGCACATCAAAACCATCTGTGGCTTAGTCTGTTAACACAGTTTTATTGCAATGTTTTAACGATCTCACTTCAACTTGGTTTCAGAGAGAGGAGAAAAAATCCCAACTGTATAGCAGTAAATGTTATTTGTAGTGCTCTTTCTGTCCCTGTCTCTCTCTGGTGCATGTCAGTTATCACAAAGAGATATACAAAGAGCAGACACAACAGCCACCAAGCCAAGAGAACGGTAGCAGCAGCAGTAATACTCTTTCTCTTTACTTAAAGAGTAATAATACACTTGATCATATTCTACATTCAACTTAAATTCACAATAGCAAGTGCATCTGCTGCTACCTCACATCTGAAGCCTTATCTACATCTTTACCCAGGGTATTACAGTCTTTGGGGCTTCTTCACTGGTTCAAGATCTCTGTAACTCTTGAAAACATGGAGAAGGAAGTTCATACAAAACACATCCACAAAGCTCACTTGCATGGTCCCATCTGCCTCAAGAAGTCAAACGGGACTGCAGGGCCCCGGTGGAGATGTCCACATCAGCTCAACTACTCGAGGAGCAGGGACTAAAAACCGAGTTGTCTTTGTAGTAGTAATTAATTCTGACTTCTCAGCTGGATATCTTTTTCCATTTCCATTATACAGTTAGTTTTCCATGCAACGTAAGGTAAACAGCAAAATTATCAGCAAATCACCGAGAAGTAGTTTAACACTGCTATTTTGTAGGTATTTGATAGGAGGCAGTTCATTAATAGAAGCTAGACATAATTACTGTGCTGACTGCACTTGCAATGGATATAAAAATCCAGCCTAGAAATATCAGATGCATTTTGCTGGAACTAACCAAGTATCCCCATTGAGTCCAAGATCTTCTTGGACTGTATTTTTAGCGTGCTTCAAGAACATGTTTGTTTCAAACCATTTACTTTCGTTCATTTTCTTAGCATCTATTAAAAACAAGTTGGGGGGGTGTTCTTTTTTTAAAAAGAATTATATATCAGAGAATGTAAAGTATGACAAAGTCATGTTAAGCAAGTGAAATTTAAGAGAGAGGAAAAAGCAGGAAAAAATAAATCTATGGAATGGCTAACTTGTAATAATTGTTATTTTTAATCCTGAAGCCTCTATGAGCCTCCAATACATAATCTATTTAGTCTACGGTAGGAGGGTAATCACAGAAGACCAACTCTGCCATTCTGGATCACAAAAGCGTTCTTGTACTCTGCCTTATCTCCAGAAGTGGTCAATAATACATATTATAAAAATAATGCACAAAAGAAACAAGCAAACAAAAAAAAAAAAGATAAAAAGGTATTTATTCCTAAGTATTTACAGGTTAATTATGCATTAAGGAATATATTTCAAATTATGAGTTTCTCTTCAACAAAAGAGAAAAATCCATCTAATTTAACTAAGGACACTTTAAAAAGCCTTTTGAACAGGTATCTTTTTGACTGTAACTAAGAATTCCACAGGCCAATCTATAAAGAAGTTTCAGTAAGTTTTGAAGATGCAAAACTGCTCTTTCCTCCCCATGTTTTAGAATGAGGAACATTCCTACCACTATATCTATACTACTTATCATTTTCTTTTTCAGGCTGTCTTCACAAGCAAGACTTCCCATACTTTAACAGTAGCTTTCACCGCACATCTGTATCAGCTATTAACTTTCACAGACAAGGTGTCAAAGACTGGTGGTAACATCCTCCTGGTTTAATTTGTTTCTTATGCATCCTACACATCTCGTGCATCCCCACGCTTGCTTTTGCAGCTACTACTATGGCTCCAGAGACTCTTTTGTTGGTCTGTCCCTCTAACCAGGACTACAACCAAGCATGAAGAACATCAGTTCCCCCAGTTCCTGTTGCTCCTGATAAATACAATCAAACACTGCCACCTCACTGCACCCCCTTTTAAAGGGTTACAAAATAATGTGATGGTATTTCAGATTAAAAAGGAAATACATTCTTAACGGGAAAGTCACTTTACAAAATACTAGTCTTGCCAAATTCTCCTCACATTAGCATAATGATTTCTTATATAGAGAAGAGTAATACTAATGTATGATTTGTATTCATCTCTACTAAAGCTGCCATGGGCATGAAAGAAGCTTTTCAACACTAAGTTTGTGCTCTGTAAAAAACAAAACAAAACAAAAACAACAAACAAACAAGAAAACAACTTAAGTCTTAACCATTTGTAGTAATTAAAATCGTTCATATAGTTGAGGAAGGGGGTGAATTCAGGTTACCATATATATCTATACAGCCCGCTTGATCTAGTCAGACTCTGTAATTTTCAAATTCTCCCCTCAAAAAACTCAAGTTGCTGTTGCAAAAGCAGATTCAGAGAAGCCCAATTTAGACAATGGTTTTCTTTCATGAAACAGCTAATACAATTTTTAAAAAGTGGGCCCTCCCTATCCCTATTAATCTAATTGCCCTTGCTTAGGCAAAGAAATGGGAAATGTTGTTTTCAGAAGACACTAGCTATCTGAAGCATCACTTTGCAACCAGCAGAGACAAGGATCAGCATCTTTAAAACTTGCTGAAAGATGATCTATGTTCTCCAGTAGATTAATCCACAACCAACCAACATTAAACTTACTCACCTGTGCCAGGACACCTTGCTAAGTAAAAAGTACTAAACTTTCCAATCCAAAGCACCAATTT